ATTACTGTCTGCATAAGTGCCGTAGGCGTCAATAAGTGTCCCTTTTATGCCGGACGTTGTTTCTATAATATACAGGATAGACATATCATCGGGATTGGAAGCGCCTTCAAACCGGAAGAAATTCACCACATGCACATCTTCGGGTGTGTGGTGTTTTTTAAGTGTGGGCGCGAATAATCCTTCTTCTGCCACCGAAAATTGCTCTGTATATCCATGCTTAACAGCACCTGCATAACACTCACTGAGGGTATTCATGGCTGCCATATTACCCGAACGGAACGGATCCTTGCTTTTGTTTTCCATAGTTGTTGGTGGTGATTTGATTTCAAGAAAGATACATAAAATCAGGGCCAGCAAAATTCAACCCGTAAGCAACACCCCATTTAAGGGAAGAAGAGCCAGGCTGCGCTGTCCGGCAACCCGGCTCTTCCGGATAAAAACATTCAATAAACCCTACATGCAACACCCTATTTCTTTATAAAAACCTGGCTGCAGCTCCCCATTGCCGTCTGAATACGAAGCCCATAACTTCCGGGCAATAAATGATGTATAGCTACCTGCTCTGTTTCCTTTTGCCAAACGAGCTGCTCTGAAGAAACCCGGCGACCTGCTATATCCATTATATCTAGGGTCACCCGGGTACCGGCGGTTACATCAAGCCTTATGCTTAACTGGTCTGTTGCAGGATTTGGATAGATCAAGGCGTTCACCTTCGCGACTCCGGTGATCGCAGCCGGCACTGTATTATAGTCTTCGTAATAACAATATTGGGCAAGGGTCGGGTAAGGTATCCGGGCATTTGCATAGCGCCACATTACGGTGGGATTGTTACGGGCGTTATATTCCAAAGCCACCAGCGACTCCCTATTCCATACCCTCGCAACCGTATCCCATAGACTGATAACAGAAGTATCTGCCAGTCCAAGACTATTGAAGTGCCTTGCATTCATTAAGGATGGCATCCATCTATTGCCAGCGGCGTCCCACAGATCGGAAACCACGGAACTATAATCCGTTGCTGAACCGGAATAATCATAAGTCTGCCGGGACTGGTTAACCATCGTACCACCGGCGTTATACATATAGATGATGGACAAAGGATT